TCTCTCTCTCTCTCTCTCTCTCTCTCTCTCTCTCTCTCTCTCTCTCTCTCTCTCTCTCTCTCTCTCTGTGTTATGCATGTCTCTGAGTGTGTGCACAGTGTATACAGATAGAAGACAGAGTTTTGACCTTGTATATCTTTCTTGATCTCTCTCCATCTTACTTTTAGAGACAGAATATCTAGTACTGCCCCTGAGTTAACCACTTGGTTCGACTGGTACCCAATGAGAAGAATCTGCCTGTCTCTGCCTCATCAGCATTGGAGTTGCAGATGTTTTCTGTTGTTCCTGGCATTTACGTTGATACTGGGGATAGAAATTTGGAGACTCATGATTGTGCAACTTGGCACATCATGAATCTCCCCATCTCCGTCAATCTGGGGTATTATTTTAAGCATTTTCTGCAGTGCTTGTTTGGTGGCTTCGAACTGATAGTTTGCTTGGATATAGAAATGTTTGTTGGTACTCATTTACTTTGGGGCTATAAATTCTGTGGTTCCATGTCTTTAAGACTGCTGGTGAAGGATCTAATATTATTCAGACATGCTTACATTTTGGGTGGGTTGTGTTTTCCATTGTCAGCCTTCAGCATTATATTTTTACCATTTGCTTATAATATCCTTTGATGCTGTTCTTCTCTAGTGATGTTTCTTTAGGGTTCTAAAGGCCTCTTGTGTTTGGATGTCTATACAGATTTAATCAATTTTCTGCTGCAATTTTGTTGACTAGAATCTTGCGACTTTTGATTTTACTGCACCTTCATCTATCCCATGAGTTTCTGTGTTTGATATCTTGATACTAATCCAGAGTTTTGGGTCGGTGTGGTCATGCTCATTTATTTTTTCCATTACTAGTGTTTTAATGTAATACCTTGACCTTGACCTCTATCTGATGGTCTGTCATTTATTTCTTTGTTTGTAGTACTTCTATTGCATTTTTAGAGTTATTGGAATCTTTATTTTTAACAGTCCTATTTGTTTTCAAATTCTGAATTTTCCTGATGAATTTCTCTTCCAAGCTTATGTCTTTTCCATCCTGTCTTTGAGTTTCATACATGTTGTTGACTTTCCTCTATATGTTACTAGATTTCTTGTCTAGGTCTTGGTTTAGTTTCAATGCCTCACTCATATACTTGTTTATAATCTCTTTCAAGTTGTTGCTAATTTTTGCTAATAACTTTTTGACTTCTAATTTCATATTTTACCCATGTCCATATTTTTTGTTTTTGAGGAGCTATGATCATTTGGAGAAGTCATGTTGCGTTATTTTTTGTTTGCTTCTGTGTTGCAGTTTGTATATACTTTGATTTTAATTTTTTTGTTGTTTTATTTGGAAATCTTCTTAGTATTCTGATCTTGAAGTCTGCAGTAGCACTCAACAAGGATCAAACCAACTTCTGTAGCAGCACCAAACCTAACTCTACCAGGTGTAGAAATGTATGCTCAAAATTAATTTAAACACACTAATATATCACCAATTACCACAAGGCAGTAAATATAAATGTAATATAGAGTGTACTTTGAAATTAAAATGTACTTAGAGTAATTGTGGAAGCAGTGAGTGGATGAGATGAAAGGAGGGCGGGAGACAGAAGAAATGGCAAAAGAAGCATTATTTAATACTTGAAAGCAAAGAAAAAGCACCAAAGAGGGATTATGATGAAGATGAAGAGAAAGGGGCCATAGGATTAGGAAAAAATAGGCAAAGATAATAAGTAAAAATGAAAAAGACATTACAATAATGAGAAAACACATAATCAAAATTAGATAATGTAATAAAGAGACTAAACATAAGAACAAAATTTCTGATAAGGAATCCCCTACCCCGGGTCATTCATGATGCTGAATTTTCCTCTATGCTCTGCATTCGCAGCTGTCTGCTCACTCCTTTGGTGGATTTCATAGATTCTATTTGAAATAGGCTGGGTGTTGCTATCCTTCACAGGTCAATCTTGAAGAAGATTCCAGTCCATCATATCATGAAGAAGTATTTTCTTAGCCTTTGCGGGCAAGAAAATTTTGTTTGAATTTCTTTAGTAATTTCTGATAATTAAAAAAAAAACAAATTATATATTCTATGGGGGAAGAAAATAAGGTGAATGCTAGATTTTTCTAAATTATTCCAGGGATCTATATTTTAGAGCTGTACTCTAGAAATGCTAGTGTGGCTTTTTAAATACCTAAACCCTTTCTTCTTTTTTTTTATTTAAAAATATTTTTAATTTTACATACT